CCCAGCATCACCTGTTGTTGTTGTTATTACATGCCATCAAGTCATCTCCAACTCATGGTGACCACGTACAACAGAATGAAACACTACCTGGCCTTATGCCAGTCTCGCAATCCCTACTATACATGAGCCCATTGCTGCAGCCCCCATGTTAATCTATCTTGTTGAGGGCTTTCTCCTCTTTTGTTGACCTTCCACTTTACCAAGCATGACATCCTTCTCCAGAGAATGTCCCTTCTGACAACATGACCAAAGTAGGTGAGACGAAGTCTAGCCATTCTCTCTTCCAAGGAGCATTCTGGCTGTACTTCTTCCAGGACAGATCTGTTAGTTCTTTTAGCAGTCCATGGTATTTTCAGCATTGTTCTCCAACACCACAACTCAAAAGCATCAACTCTTCTTTGGTCTTCCTTATTCATTGTCCAGCTCTCACATGCATATGAGGTGATCGAAAATACCATGGCTTGTGTTAGGCGCATCTTAATCTTCAAGGAGATATCTTTGCTCTTCAGCACTCGAAGGAGGTCTTTTGCAACAGATTTGCCCAATTCAATACGTCTTTTGATGTCTCGACTGATGCTTTCATTGGTGTTGATTGTAGAACCAAGTAATATGAAGTCTTTGACAACATCAATCTTTTCTCCATTCATTATGATGTTGCTTATTGGTCCAGTTGTATGGATTTTTGTTTTCTTTATATTGCGGTGTAATCCATACTGCAGACTGTAGATTTTAAACTTCACCAGTAAGTGCTCCAAGTCATCCTCACTTTCATCAAGCAAAGTTGTGTGGTCAGCGTATCTCAGGTTGTTAATGAGCCTTCCTCCAATCCTGATGCCACGTTCTTCTTCACATAGTCCAGCTTCTTGGATTATTTGTTCAGCATACAGATAGAATAAGTATGGTGAAAGGGTACAGCCTTGACACTCTCCCTTCTTGATTTTAAACCATGTGGTATCCCCTTGTCCTATTTGAACGACAGCCTATGTACATGACAGGTCTATGTACAGGTTCCTCATGAGGACAATTAAGTGTTCTGGAATTTCCATTCTTCTCGATGTTATCCATAATTATGATCCACACAATCAAATGCCTTTGCATAGTCAATAAAACACAAATAAACATCTTCCTAGTATTCTTTGCTTTCACCCAAGATCCATCTGACATCAGCTATGATATCCCTCACTCCATGAGCCCTTCTGAATCCACCTTGCATTTCTGGAAGTTCTCTGTCAACATACTGCTGCAACCGTTTTTTAACTATCTTCAGGAAGATTTTACTTGAGTGTGGTATCAATGATATTGTTCAATAATTTCTACATTCTGTGGGATCACCTTTCTTTGGAATGGGTACAAATATGGATCTCTTTCAGTCAGTTGGCTAGGTAATGTTAGGCCGTAGCAAACTCAAACCACCAACATTTCAGTTAGCAACTTCCTCCAGGTGTCAGGCCCTGATGAGACAACCTGATAAGACAACCGAGGTGGCAAAACCCACCCAGGCTGGAAAGTCCCACATGATGACAAACTTCCTCCTGTGAAGCCCCCTCATGCTAATTAGGTGCAGACCCATGCCAACAGCTAATTGGACCCCACCATTTCCTTAGTGTCCCCAATTAGGTCCTCTCTGTGTCTATAAGAATCTATCCGCCCTGCCCGGGGGTGCGGCTTCTCTGGCCTTGATGCTAGGGCATGAGAACCTCGCCCGGGAGTGCTAATAAACTGCTTCTCTGAAACAACTCCATGTCCTGGTGTCTCGACAACCCAGCGATACAGGTAGCTGTCTTCCAAATCTCTTGGCACAGCCAAGTGAGTGTCTCCAGTGTGGCGTCCGTTTGTTGAAACATCTCAGTGAATATTCTGTCAATTCCCGGAGCTTCGTTTCTCACCAATTCCTTTAGTGCAGTTTCGACTTCTTCCTTCAGCACCATTGGCTCTTGATCATATGCTGCCTCCCAAAATGGATGATAATCTACCAATTCTTTTTGGTACAGTGACTCTGTGTATTCC